TCTTGGCTTCAAATTAAAACGAAACAAAGTTATGATTCATTTATTGAGTGTTTGAGGTTAAAGAGTGAACTAAACTCGTCAGTAGCTCTGTCGAACTTCTAACATCATGGATTAGGACTTACCTAGGCTTATATCCCCAAGACTATGGACATCCGAAAAGCGTTTTGAGACATTGGCCATAATAAAATCCAGTTGTAGTCAAGTTGGTTGGTTGCAAACTATCCCAGTTATTTTAAAAAAGGCTGGTTTTGGTTTGAAAATAATATTTCACAAACGTCATGTTTGACTGCGAAGATGAAACAGATAAAAATCACGCGACGTAAATCTCCGTTTAATAGTTTTCACCAAATTTTATGTCACAGAACTGTTCAATGATCATAACAAACAACAGCGTTACTAATCAATGATATGCTCATATCCTACCTTGGTTCTACCACACCAAACCTATCGATTGGTCTGTGGAACTCAGAAAAAAGTAAATAAGCAAAAATAGATAAAACGTCAAATAGGAATTCTTCTTAGGTACCAATGCACAAACGTCGAAAGTTACAACACAGCAGCTTCATTCACACACTTTATTCTGGCAGCAAAATTAAACACTGATAATGATTGACGATAACATAAAACATCATAGATGTCTCTAAAAATTAAGCTAAAAATATCACGATTTATACAGCTCCTACAATGCTTTCTTATTCTGCCGTAATAAATTGATGATTGATGACAATGCGCCATTGTTCAAGTCAGTGTGTTTAAGTTAGCCAACACTAACTTGATGCAACTAAGCATTCAACCAAGACAACCTATAACATGCTAACTCGGACATTTACAAGAAAACTATTTGGCAGGCATCGGATGATGAAAAAAAGACTGTACAAGATATGGTTGTTGTTTTACTTAACACTCTACTCTCAATATGCACTCTCTGTTCTGATAAACAGTCTTCCTCATTTCAACCTTCACTTCCCTTGCTTCATTAGAACCTATTCCACCTTGATAAATATCACAACTCACTGTTCTTTATTACTGCATTCTCGCATCTAAAGCCCCTGATCACATTTCCCTCTAGCGACATGAGCTAGTATCGATTTAATCTAATAATTTATCATACCTCCGTCTGTTCCACTACTAAATGTTAAACATTGGTTATCGTTCATATCTATATGCCTTTCTGCTCCTCGGTTTCTTCTCTTCTATTGTTTTTCATTTTTTCTTTTCAGAAACTTGCTCTGATGGCGAAGTTGAGGAACTCCTGATATCCAGAACAAACTCGACGTAGGCGCTTTCTCAAGGTTATAGTTCTCACCAGGAGCTCTACAAGTCTACTTTATAACAACTATAAACTTAAAATTTGCATTACATAAATACTTAGCGCGACCAAATTCCCAATACAATTTTTGCCGAGATTGGATCTGGTGTGAAACGTGGACACGATGCCCCTTCGGAAAATATTTTGAAGAATACACAGTATATATGATCGAACGAACAGTTATTAACTTTTATAGATTATATTTACCAAACAACCTTGCTTGGGATGCATACTGTGGCCCAGTATATGTTGGAACTTGTAGATCATGCCTGTAAAAATGGCTTGTATCTGCCCTTGGAGAAATACATTAGAAGTCAGTAGTTCAGGGGTTCGAAGGTATGATTGAGGAACGCTTCGAATATAGGTGTTACCGGTTTATATTTGTTAAACTACAGGACTAGTCGTATCTTCAAGATCATATCATATTTCCTAAAGTTCTTGGAATGAGAGACAATCAGTCAAACAAATCCCTGACGAATTCCACAGACCAAATGCAGCAACTTCGTTCTCGAATAGTTGTCAGTTAATATAAAGAGCCGCCAACTTATTTTAATTTGGAATGAAGATAATCTAGTTTTTATTATCAATCGTCACAATTGCTTGATTGTCATGCCAGTGAATGTGTATGGATGGCCTTATTCGTGGGTACGTATTTTCTTTTATAGCTAGACAGCTATAAGGAGTAGGAGGATCGAATCAATCATGAGTTTGTTTATCTACACACAAAACCTTAATTCATACTTCAATATTTTCCCGACTTTGTAAAACGTTTTGGACATAACGCTCAGTGGTAAAATGTTGGCGATGAAACAAATCTTATGTTACCTTGGTGTATTGAATTAGATCTGTATTGGACGTATTCGTTTGTGATGACTAAAGTTGATGTATGCAAATGGTCACCAATAAGTTTCAACCGATTTTTGTCTCATGAAAACAATGTTAAAGATAACATTCCTAATTACGGATTCAGCTGTCAAAGTTCTGCTTCGGAGAATGCAAACTCATCAAAAAGTAGCAGATCCCCTGAGTCTATAGATAAATTCATGTTTGAATGTAATGTAGAAGAATCGAAATCGAAAAGGAGTCACACTAACAGCCAAAAAGCAGTTTCTTCGCCCTTAGTATCTGACAGTAAGTCATAATAATTTTATTGTCTACTGTTTTATGAACGCTTAAAGGGTTTTATAATTTCGGAAACCGATTAGTTTAAATTTGTACTCGGTGTAGTTGCAGTAACATAATTCGTCTCCTAGACGAAATGATAGAACCCATTACTATGGCTTATACACGTTTCACAATGTTTTAAGCCTTCCATACCAATTATAAAACTAGTGGTGGTCATATTTGTGATGTTATGAAGCCAAAAGGAAGTAACACATAGTTATGAGCATCTGACGAGTTAATAGTGTTAAAAATAAATGAATAACCGCTACATTTTGTTTGTAACGTATCGTGTCAAACGTCTTTTGAAGCTTTTTGAAGAGAAGCGGTTAAATATTTGAATCAGCCAGTCAAAGTACGAAGCCGTTAGCCGAAGAATCTTCATTCGGTGACAGACACAAATTATCATGACAGTTTTAGATCAGGGTCTCTCAAAAATATGACTACAGTACAAGTAACAATACTAAAATATACTGTTTTTGATATTCTTCAATTCAAAAGGCATTAATTTTGGGTTGGCATCATGGTATAAATAGATTTTAAAGGATAATTTGGCTACCTAGTGTACAATGCACACTGAAACTGAAGATTAATGTTGAATATATTTACAACCAGAGTTTTCAAGTGACCAAATATTTGAAAATACAAAATTCCATTAATCCTTACATCTCAGAAGTCTCTGGATAACATGTTTTCATCACAAATACCTAGGTTTTATAAAGATGTCGTGTCATTCTTTAAGATCTTGAAAAGATTCAAAGTTTACTTGTTAAAATAAGAGGTTTTCTTTGTTTCATGATAGATCCTACATGAAGGCTTTAGACTAAGTGCAGCTTGCAACGGTTTTTATAAAGTCTCTAGCATATGGTCCAGATATCAACTGCTTTTCTGCAAACTATGACGTTTAGTGACTAAAATATTTTTTGAATTTTTATATTACTAACTGTATGTGCAAAAAGATGCAGATGTCATCAAGATAGGAAATTGCTTTCTATCCCACTGGGAAGAACAAACATATTTTTGTTCTACTCGAACAAATAAACAAAGTTCTACTTCTACTCGTCAGGATATAACAAGAAATATATTAAATACTAAATTTCCACCCAATGCTCAATTCGTTTAAAATCAACAAGTCTAAACTTGGTATTGATGCTTGCGAACCCACTGTGCCGTAGTTTCCAGGCGATTTGAGCCACTTTTTTCATTTTTTCCACATACATGAGTCATATCAGTATATTTCTAAGCCTAAAGATAGTGATTAACGTTCATAAGGTGAAGTAGACGACTTCAAAAATAGCTCGAAATAGCTCACTGTGATGTAGAGACAGTTTCTCTTTACTGGTAACTAAATCCTGGCTTTAAAAGTCAGTTTTTATTTTATTTTCTGGCTGACATACTTTTTCTCTCAAGTTATGCTCTCCATGAGTAATTATTTTTACTATTACTAATGCTTTGGTATTATTCTTAATAATTTCGTCAGTCTGAGAATATTCGGTTTGACAACTTATGATGATTCATGTTTGTACCAGGTTATATATTATTCATGAGTGACTGACTAAGAAGGTAAGTAGATTTTACTCCTGTCCAGAAATCATATCGAAAATTGCAAATATGTCACACCCACTACTCAAAACAATACTCAGATCACACAGCAATTCCCACTTATTCATCTGGATTTGTCCAAATATTTCTTATGAGGAATTTTAATGGGTTTTCAACATTACAAAGCTGTGAAGTTTAAATAAATAGTGTCAAAAGACACCAGTATGTCAGAAGATACTAGTACGTTGAAACCTAGTTACGTTAACATATTACTTATGTGTTCGCCGAAACGTCTTGGTTTCATCTGCTTTTATCTTACTTTTCCCATTAGGCTACTAATTTTTAATATAAATCAAAGCTTATAACCTGAATAAACAAATAATCTTAAGATAGGATTTTTTTATCTTTATTCAGTCTTCGAATTAAAAGGCAGATTTTAGAACGAGAAGCCAAATAAGTGATACTAATTAGGCAATAAACACGTGCTTGGGGTGTATTGATTCATTTAAAGCTGAGAAATAGACAATGAAATATCCCTGATTTATATATATATATATATATATATAATTTAAGCCAATAAACGACTCTCAGGTTCAAATGCACTAGGAAACTAAAGAAAAAACAATGAATCTTTACTTCGTGATTTCAGTAATCTATATTTGACAGTGACTTGTTTTTTTAAAGCATTGGCAAATTAAGCAAACAGATGGTTGAGAAAGGTTGTGGTCTTGCATGATTTTATAGGGCTTGGCAATGTTGTCAAGTTCTTAACAGGTATCAACTTTAAGAATCTATTGAGCAAGTAGTATCTTAATCAATTCAAGACAGTAAATTGTATTTAAACGTAATGCTAGTATTTGGCATAAAATGGGCTATCTATTCATAAAATAGACGTATAATAAGTGTTTTATTTTTTTAGTCTGTTCAAAGCAAATGGTGATATATTGAGGAGAAATCAATTAATGTATCTCCATTTTTAAAGAGTGTACAATATTTAGGTTAATCAATACTAATGTTTCGAAACTTAATTGAATAAATATTCATGTATATACATGTGTATACGTGTATATGTATATTAGTTTTCATATGTATATTAGTTTTTTCACACACCTGAGTAGATACTTGTCGCTTACAAGCCCAGTTTTTACTCTTTCGTATTTATTCCATTGTATTATTTAAAAATGTTTCAGTCAACGCCATCATGCTATTTCTCTAGTCAGTTCTTGACTTTCTAAAGTTTGTAACCTCACAGAAGGAAATCATAGTGAAGGAAATCGGAGTGTAATAAGCTGAGAAACACATGCAGCATAGTTGTAAGATACCATTAATTCGTATCTCTTCACGACATTAAAGTTAACTCAAGTTTTATTATTAATGAGTATTCCTTGCGAAATATTGAATAGAATGAAACTACAAAACTTCAGACCATCTGAAAAATTTGTACTCTGTGATTATACCTTTTATTAAAATGATTATTGATGTTTGAGTATCAAATCGTCACTGTGCATACACATAATCTATTTTGATTGTTTACATTTTGATCACTCAACTCCAAAAAATGCAGAATTCTATAACGTAATCACTCGATAATTCATATATACATCCTTAACCATTAATTTCGGCATGAGAATTTGGTTGCGGTGTTTTTTTAGTAAGCATTATTTTTTTTGTTCGCGGCCAAAGATGTACTTGAAATACTTGCTTCAGTTATGTAGATAAAACGAGTAGCAGACTTATTTCAATTCATATCTTAAGTTCAGACCCTAATTCCCAAAAGAGTCAGTTTGTGGCGGTTACATGTTATTTGCATGTTTAGCCTCCAAAGCAGTTTTTTCCGTTCTTTTAATAAACTACTGAGTTCTCCTATATTTTCTCTCTTAGTACCTTTATATTTTGCTGCTTATCTTTTGGTTTGTACTGTAGGAAATTATTTTTCATTTAGAATATAAAGTTATGTAACGAGATTGTGAAATCGAAATTTGTATATCGTTTATCAGCCAGAGCCTGTTACTGTATAATTCACAACTCAAAAAGCTATATCGAACTTTAAGGGAAACAGTTAGATACGTTGTCAGTAAAAACTGATGTTTTCAAAGGGCTATAACTATTTTGGATGATTTGATGTACACTTACATGATTTTAAATCACGTGTTAGATGTTTAACATTTACGATTAGTTTTTAAGATATTTCACTGAATAATTTCTTCGTAATAACTTCATTTACAATATTATACATCATTATGATGATTTCTACTTATTTAACAGATAAAGTTGCCAAATCAGTATTCATATTAAAAGATACAAGAAGTCATCAGTTAAACAAGAGGGCGACTTTGAAACGAAATGGCAATTCAGACATTACAATACATGAAGATTTGATAAAAGCCAAATCCACGGAAGAATTAACAAGAAAAGTTTCGATCAAAAATGAGACAAAAATTAATAACAAGACTAAAAGTACTCAACTTAAATCTTTATCATTTCAAAAATCAGACGAATATTGTACTAGAGACTCCAATGACATTTTGAATCAACTGAATCAAAAGAAAAGTTATAAAATGGTTAATAAACTGTCGTTATCAGAAACAAGAAATACAGAATATAAAATACACATAAGTACTGATAGCACTGATTCTAAACTCATCAATCATAGTGATAATAATTCTTCCTTATTACATAAAACCAGTAATAATTCTTATCACTTGGCAAATAGTAATGGTGAAAAAATGAAGAGTGATAAATCTACTAAACGGAAAAGTTATTTAAAACAAAACACAACCCTCTTACCAAATGCACTGAGAGCTGTTGACTTTGTACTGCCTACTGAAAGTTCGGGACCAAGCAAAGAGAATGACGGATCAATCATTCATCCTAATAAGTTACGACATACAGGAGTGAGTTGACAAATATATATATATATATATATATATATATATATATATATATATATATAGTCATTTAATGTTCTGAAATTTCATGAAGACAAACAATATTGTTTGTGTTATATTTATTAGTCATGTTGGTAGATCTAAGGACTGTCTTATCTGAAAATATGTTGAATTACATTTCATTACAAATACGTGTATTTACAAATAAAATGTAAATAATACTTTGTAAAAAACGCTTGAGATTTATTGGTTAGAACAATAAGTTACCAATTGCAGTTTTGTTATTAAATATAACTCTTGTTGTAGCTAAACCATCCTTAAGTAGAACATGTTAGCATTTATTATCAACTATGAATATCACTTGACAACAGATGGAAATAAGAGCTCAGGACAGAGTAGACTGAGGATTCCTGGTCGGCCCCTATACTCTACAAGGAGTATCAGGCGTAAGTTAGTGATTATACACTTGGTAATTTTACATCCACAGTTTTAGAATCACACTTATAACTTGGTCTGAAAAACAATGAAAAGTTCTATCGCTCAAAAGTCTTTATATTTTGGATCACTGCTACATCAGTGAAATACTAGTAGTGAAAAATTGAACAAATTTTGAACAACCACATAGATTTTATTTTCAGACCTACTGGAAATTTTGGTAGGATTAATTTTTTAAGCTACTACAGGCAACAGTTATAAAATTCACATAACCGTCAGTAGTCTGAAAAGTGAAGGAAATGAGAAACTGAAATGACAGTATTCACTTGGATAGTGATTTTGTAATGCAGAATTTATTTGTTTTGAAAAACGTTATTGGCGATGCATTCAAAGTAATAAATTATTCGTTTTTTATATAATCTCGATCACGGTCTATGAATAATGAATTTCACCTATATCCATTTAATTTACGATTACGATCTTTGAGTTAGAAGTAAACGAAATACTTACTGGAATCCAGTTCAAACTTTAGTAAATAAATAACTAGAACTGATTAAGTGATTCTGGTGATGTCAAGTGTTCATTATTACACTTTTACTTTAAAGATCTTACCATCCAACAACTTTTATCGTTCATATTTAAGGAAAAAATCATATGATTAAATACATTGTGCTGTTCATAATATAATAGTAAAATCATTATCAATTTTTTTGTAGCATCTTTAGTAAAAAGGGTCTCTTGTAATTGGTTTCGAGAGAGATCATCTATACTTGTTCATCAGTAGCCTTGAACTAGGATCAAAATGATTATCTTGAAATCTTTGGCTTTTAATGGTTTTCCACTTAATATAAGATCATAAATTTAATTATTAGGTTTTAAAAGGTAGTAGTAAAATATTCAAACTAAAATGTCCCGTTTATCGTAGTCCGTGATATGTTGAAATATTTATCTACAAAATTTTTGATTTTTTGAAATTGTATATGTCCATAGTACTGTAAAATCATTCAAAGTGTAGCCTTTGAAAGAATGCTTGAGATTAGTAATGATAATTTTGAAAATGTCTTTTATCAAATGATTAAGGGATTAAAGAAAAACACAAATTATACGTGCTTCTAATATAATCACTCATGACTCTGTTGGCAAAAAGAGAAAGGACGGAAATCGATAACTTGACTTTGAAGAAGTAGTGGGTGAGGAGACCTTCCAAAGTTATTGTCTGAAATTCACGTTAGTAAATAAAATTCACGAGATGTTGTAGAATGCTCATTCAAAAATTTAGTTGTTTCTATCAATTTCACTATCACTTAATTAACACAAAACATGACTTATATTGTTAAAGAAAAAGTTAGGGATTCTTCATCATAGACTTATTTCATAATTCTGAGTACAAAATATTGTCTACTGCTTTAGAAGTATTAGCTTCTTACGATTCGTCCTTACGGCTTACTTCATTTATTCATTAAGAAGTCTAAAAGTTAAATATTATATACATGTACATGTTATTCTCTGAAATCAGTGTATAACGCCCCATATAAATGTGTAAAATGATGTAAGTCCATGCAAAGTAGCTGTCAACTAGGAAAGCATTTAAAACCCAATGGAGCATTCTGCACAAAAAGGTCGTTCTCTTATTTGAGTTGATTGACTTACATCCTTTTTTATCACACCCTAAATGAAGTGTCTAAAACGTATTTACGAGTAAAACCATGTTTTAAAAACAGAATAACGTAATTTCTATCAAATTGTGTGCTGTTGGGCTTTGGTAAAAATCTCAACAGTTTATTATGTAGTTATTATCATATAATGAAGTCACTTAACTATGGTACATCATAAAAGGTAGATATATTTTAATTCGTCATAACCACGAAAGTAAAGCGTAAGATTCAAAATGTTAAATTAATAATTAAAATAATCTTAAACTGCTGCTCAGTGTACTACCAACTACAACTAAACACTTTTGTCCAATCATAATGGATTAAAAGACTCTATCAAAGCCTACTTCATTCTCAATTTTTTATGTTAAGTGGACTGTGAGTCATGAATGTTTGACCATCACTACATGCGAGTTGTTACTTCATTGATGATGATGTGTTAGAAAACAAAATAAAACAAAAATTGTGAAATGCTGCATTTTTAAATCGGAAAATATAATATTGATACTTTTGGTGCTTCGCAGTTCTAGTCAAAAGTAAATAACTAGCAGGTGTCACATGTTTTGTAAATAGTTAGATCATATGAAGTAGATCATAAGAATAGTACAAAAGGTGTTATTTTGATGTAATCATTTTAGTATCTTACATAATAGTTTAGAAATTAAGAAATTAGACTTAATACATTTGATGTTATAAAGGATTTCATCGATAAATATATTGGCCCTCAATGCCATGTAGCCTGATGCATTGCTTTATTGAAGGTTACTTATTCCCACTTTAGATGTGCTACACTGATATGGTACACAAACAATTACCTAACTAGTTTTAGTCAGATAAAATTGGTTCTCCTTCACTTTGTACTATATACTTAAAAAGAAAAAAATAACTAAGTGTTGCCATGTTTAAGGAAAGTTTTATAAGAAAAGTATGAAAATTTTATAAATTATATTTAAAAAAGAGAGGAAATAACAGAATCTATGTAAAACAATCTCATTTCAATGTTGCAATATATTTTTTGCAGTGCATTCTGTTATATAGTATTGAAAAACACATCAATAAATACTAAACCCCTCATAAAAACACTATTCAACTAAACATTCATGAATTTCTACCCTTTTTCGATTAGCGTTTTTTTTACTTTTAATAAAAAATTTCAGAAAACTATAAAATATGTTAAGAGTTTGATAGTTATGTTTCAATTAAATAAAATAGTTTATCTACTTATCCACAAAATAGTATCATAATTTGTGATAGCTGCGTTGATATATTCACAATGTGAAATAAGGTTTTCAAAATTAATAGCAGAACAGGAACCCCTAGGAGAGCATATTTATATTTCTTAAAGATGTGGTCAAACTGGTTTCTCATATCCTTAGTGATATAAAAATAGCTTTTCTCAATTTTAGCTCACTTTAGTATTCTTTGCTTCATATCAAAAAGAAGGTTGATATCAAATGCTTTTAATCATGGGCCGATTTTTCACTGACATTTTTGTGCATCGTTTTCTAAAGGAGAGAACTGAATAGTCAGTTGCTCAATAATTGAAGTCCCAGAAAGAATAGCCTTGACGATCATCCTTATGATCAAACGATTGACCTCAAAAGGAAAAGAAATCAATAATAATAATAATAGCTCTACTTGATGTCAAACATTTTGGTGTAGTAAAATGTTCCAACTACCGGTCGTTCGATATTACAACTAATACCGGTCAGAATCTTTCATCTGCATTCAATCACCAAAGTTGTCTAACAATTTTCTGTTGATTATGCTTGGATTTTAGTTTATTTTTCCACCGTTCTGTCAAATGATAGATAACAAGAAAATTATGCCAAGTGCTTCTGCTTGAGTTTTCCAGCGTTTATTACCATAATCATTTGTAACCTTTATCACCGTGTGTCAGTACATACTGTTAACACTTGTAATGATTCAGTCAAAACAAATCCGAAACAAGCAGTTTAACTGTGATACATATACAAATGGGAAAAAGTGGCTTCAACTTTTGAGTATATATATATATATATAACTTTGATTGAGCTATCATTGTCTACTATAGAGGCGCTAACAACTTAACCGTTGAATATTGAACTCTGTACTCAAAAGCAGTATTTACAAGTTCACATTCTACTATGGTCCTAACGCTTAATTGTTTTTATATTTTTTAATATTCGGTAAGCTAGCTAATGATGTGTATCTCCAGTTTTTCAATATGTTTATTATGGACACTTTTGAGGTTTTTCCGTTTTTTTACACCATTTTCATATCCGTCAAGTAGACAAGTATCTCTTATGATTCTTTCTCGTTTTATTACACTTTTTCAAGCTCTTGATCGTTACCCAACTCTCTTGAGACATTTACACTTCATGTAATTCATTCTCTTTTTTAAATAGACTATTATAATTGTTAGATCACTACGAATATATTTATGTAGCCTCAGTATACAATATTGTTTAAAGGTAAATTTTCTTTTTTGAATTGTCTTTTAAGTCTTTTTCCACTACAGTTGTTGATCTATTCTATATTCTTTTTTTCGAAAATGATAAGACTTTTGAATTTATAATCAGTGACTGTGGAACTTTTTAACAAAAGCAGCTTTGGATTTTTACTGTTATTGAGTTAAAATAAGCATTCGTGAGGCAAAACACAGATAAATTAATAAACTACTGTGGTAACAGTGTTTTAGTGAGATTTGTATTAACATAAGTGTTAACATAAAGTGTTTACACCCCTTAAATATAATAAGCCTAGGCAGTAACAATTAATAACTCATGTAATCGATAATACATTAGTAATAAGTTAACCATTTTACTAATATACACAGTTCAAATACCCCTAACACAATGCTTCATTTCCAATAAACGTCTTATTACAGGTTAAAGTGATAAGTAACCAACCGGAGGGTTACAGATCTAATATGAATTGTGTTTAATTATACGGTGCAAAAATAAAAAATGTGTAGTTTAAAACCAAGTCTATGAAATACCAGTTATAATCGCCGTTGTTATTATTATATAAAAGACATCATTATAAAGATTGTTCTTTGGATAAAAGTATGCTCATATTACTAATGAAGGTCATCCAAATTAAGATCAATAAATCAACAATAGAATGGTAATTAAATAAATCCTATCAATAATACAATAATAGCTACATTTCATTTAAATATTTTATGGTGTGATTCAAATAAAAAATAGATAATGAACTTAGTACCAACAAAATCGTCACATAGAGGTCACGTGTAAAAACCTACTCATCATCAAAGGTTACTTTCGTAAAATATAAATAGAGTGAAAATAATTATACAATATATTCATTAACCTGAATGAATGTCTTCTGACTGATCAGTGTAATTATTGCTGAAACTGTATAAGAATTGATACTCAATTTCTTTAATTCGTGGTTTACATTATTGATTTATAATAATAATAGTAATGCATATATCTTATTTATTATACTGTAAAAGATTTGTATCAAATATGCAGTTCATTTATTTAATTATTATAGTAGTCATTCAGTTGAAGCAAATATTTGGAAATAATTTATCAAATGTTTATATACGTATTTATAGACAAATTTCTTTTGGCAAACTATTCTAAATTTTGTTGTAAAATGTGTTTACTTCTTAGTATACCTTACAAACAATCGATTTTATATCGTTTCGATGAAACAGAAAAGAAAACTATAAACATAAAGCAGAAATTCTTAATTTCATTTTTTTCATACGCTCATAAGATATTTAGAACAGTAAAATTGTCTTTAGTATTGTGAATTAGAAATTAGTGCCAAGAGTAAATGCACATCGTATTTTGGGGCATTGATGAAGATTCGTAGCTTAAGTGGATGATTTTAAGGGAAATTTCATTCCCTGACCCAGCTGGTTTTAATAATTGCACTACTCAGCTCTGTGAACGAAAGTTTCACCAAACGAATTGCGGTTTAACCACTCTGACTAATGAGAATATGATTTGAAGTACTATGGTTTTAAGTTATTTGCTCCTTAATCACAAAGCTTTTTAACAATAGGTATATTTGATTGGTTCTCACTAACAAAATATGCTGTGAATAGTTGTAACATTATTAAAGACAGTTGATCATACTTTTAGTTCGTGTACTATTAAATAAGGTTATCCTACCATTGCAATATTAGAAACTTTCATCTGAATGAATAACCATTTTAAATAAAAAATATCTTTTATTCTCTACAGCCTAGAATGAAATTAATTTACTTCGTGATCATTGTTTGCCAGATGTGGTATGTTACATTGTTCCTCAATATGAACAATAAACTAGTTTCATTTAAGTAAATGTTTAATTTAATCATATTAAGTCATCATCATAGGAAATGGATTAAAGTTCGCCAAAGATCACGGGGCTTTAACTAACCGGTTACATGTAAAATAGTACCATTTTCATTAAGATAGAAGTAAGAGGAAACTTTTACATAGCACAATGTATTGTCACAAAAATTCTAGGAACCTGTATTTTTAATCAGTAGTCTGAACGAATAGCTCTAGGTCCAAGAACTAAGACTCATGGATTCAACCCCATACTAAGTCGTAGGTACTGCTGTTTGAGGGCTTAACAATAAGATAGAACGGTCAGTCGTTGACCTTTGCACCTCAACGGCCGTTTAACTTATATCGTTCTGAAATAGAGATTAATTTAAAGTTACGCTCTTGTTGATTAACAGTTATAAGACAAATTAAATGTTATATTATAAATGATTGTTTTGTAAAAGGATTATATTTTCATTTTGAGCTAATAAATTTCAAAAAATCTATGACTGATATGCATGAGTAAATGGATGATGTTCAATTGATTGAAAAATGTTAAGCGCAAATACTATCACAGAAAAATCAGCCGAATCGCTGCAAAGATTGATCGATATGAAATATAAAAACAATTTGATGACCTTTTGATAACTGAGTTTAATATTTCACAATTAAAATTGATTAAATGGACATCTATAGAATTTTCAATTGACGTGATTTGAAATAACTGAACCCTGAACGTTATTAATTTAATAAATTGCGTAATGAACCATACATAAACATAGTGCTACACATTCAATGTTACAATGTTTATGAACAAATTACTAAATCGTTTACGATCTCAATGACTAAATAATGATAGTATGGTTTACGAAGACTACATTTTTAATCCACACCACTGGCTGACCTTGAAGAATCACTAAAGAACAGGAAGTACTGGACTTCTGTTTCTTTGCAGTGGGACTCTCCTCAGCGGTGGTCATCCACAACCCCCTCTTGTATCTAACTCTAGACTTTCAGGTCTCACAGCGGTCTTTTAACATTTAGACCATTTGGTTGGAATCTAATGGCCTACATGTTTAGCTTCAAATAATCTGTGACATTGACAACTCAGTAATTTTAAAAATAAGCATTTGCCTCGAAACCTAAAAGCTTTGAGTTCACTTTCAAGTGTGACCGTGCATGCCTAATGCTGAGAAGCCTTACACTGGATTGAGACGCTTTTCTGGTGCTCTCTGTTCTCCAACTAAGGTCAGTTCACCATATAAATTATCAAACTAACTCATATTTTAGTATCGTCTGTGATAAGCATACACTGTCGTTAAACAACAATTATGGTGATTTTGACATGAGTTTAGTAATGCAAAAGATTAGTAAATTTTGTTAAATTAACAATTGTGTAGAGAAAAAGAACACTGGTTGGGGACAATCGAATGTATTTAAGCACATATTACAGACTATCTCACTAAATTCTGATAACCATACAACAAACAGTTAATTTGCAAAATAACAATCAATTGTCTCAATTTTCACTGTTCCTTCCGTAAATATCAGTTCATCTTCTCTAATTCCACTGTTCATGCATTTTCCTACCAATTGCGCTTCATTTCAGTTCTTTCCTTATCGGTCTTTTCCCAAAATACATTCTATGTCTGACCATCACCATATACTACTTATATGGATATAAGTAGACCACACCATATTGCTCATTTTCCTAACCTGTAAGAAAAATAAATAGATTAGTTCCAAAATGATTGGCGGATTACTTTGGTAGATGTTCAGATAAATGCTGAGATAAAATATCATTGGATAGTAAAAACGAAAAATTTCTTATTTTAATGGCATAATAATGTTTTATTTTATCATTTATTAGAGAGGAGTGAAAACTTTATCAGCTTCATGGAAGCCAACAATGTTATCCAATGAAGAAAAACAAAGACGACCAATTAATCGAAAACAAAGAAGAGATTCCATGGTACGTATGATAATCCCATGATATAAGCTGAAAAAGAGAATAACAATAAGTTTTATTATCAATAACAGAAAAACTTTTATTTAGCGAAATATGTTGTATCTAGGTTAAGATTGATTGTAATTTACACGACATTTCAAATTCTTTATTATTAATTGATTTCATTCACTAAGAGCTATCATTTTCATTTTCAAGTTGATAAACAAGATATTTCGTTATCTTTATTACATATGGAGAATGACTATTATTATACAATAATATTCTATTAGAAAGAAATAATCAACTAATGATAATTCACAATGAAATTATAATGTTTATTTGAATGTGAAAATTCATTTCACAAATATAATACAGTCGTGTAGCTAATTTTCTATTTCATTGTTTTATTAACACTATGGTTTCAGTTGTTTAATAAAAGTACTTTAAGCCTATGAAATAAAAAAAGATGTGGTTATGTAGAATGTATTTTACCTTCTAATACTCAATAGGTAGGTATCTATTTTAGTGTTTCCAGAGACGTAGTGCATTTTATTGAAAATGAAAACATTCAAAAATAACTGCCTAATTTTTTTCTATTACAAATGTTTATAGCATTGTTATGATAGAATCATTATACAAGAAATCATCAACATAGTTATCAATATAAAACTCATATGTGAATATGTTTGTTATTTTATCAAAATATTTTTCATATTTTTCCACAGATTTTACTTTCAAAATTGAACAGTAGACAATTCATTATACATACTAGTTACTTTTTCTAAATTTGTTTTCTCTATCTACTTGTTCTATACTACTTATATTTGTATGATGTGAAATTTTTAATGTTTATAGTATGAAAAAGGATATGGTAAACTTTCATCTTACAAAATATATGAAAAGTTGGGAGAAGTGAGTCAATAATAATTTATATTTCTTTCCTCAAATATCTTGATAATTATAAAAAGTTAGTATAGAATTGTGAAGATTGTTGAGTTTAAACTGATATCATGAATGAATCTATTCATTACATCGGTTTAAAATTATTTACATTTGGTCTATAATAAAATATTTACTTGATATCAATACTCCAACAGATCATGTTTCCAATGCCAATAAGTTACCTAATTCATAACTCATTATCAAGCGTTGAGTAATTATTATCCTAATTTCTTAAATTATGATGCTTTAAAGTTTCTTAGTCACATTGAAACCTGTCTGTTTTTAATGAATGGATTTAAAAATCCTGTAGTGATCATATGATTAGTCTGATACAACTAGTGTCTAGATTCTAACCAGCATACTCAAAGTAAATTATTAATTTTTGATATGTAATTTATAGTTATTTTTAATATATATTTTGATAGTGATAAATAGATACGAAAAAACAATTTTGAAGTGAATGAGGAATATATTATGTCTTGAAACAATATATCGTGTTTATTCGTAAAATATTTTTATAACACTAAGTTGATCACTATTTCTACTGGTATTCAAATCCATCCATCAATTTTGTGGCATGCTCTTTTAATCAATCCTAGTGTATCCAATATATGTGTAATGTCATATTATCTATCTCATTTACTGTAACAATATTTCTAAGCGTTCATACACTGAAACATAAAAACGATTGTGATATAATTGAAAAAAAATCATAATATTTTACATGGTATCATCCCTGAAATAATAGTTAGAATAATCAGTTTCATAAATATTTTATTCATCATATTATACAATATAATTTTTGAATTTTAATCAGTTATTTTTTATTTTTATTTAAAAAACAATCAAACTAACTTCAAGGGAACATATGCCACTGTTTATAAGGGTTATAGCTTAGTATCTAAACAATTAGTGGCTTTGAAAAGAATACGTATGAGAAAATCCGAAGGTGCACCATGTACAGCTATACGTGAAATCAGTCTTCTTCGTGGATTGAATCATGCAAATATTGTGAAACTACATGATGTTATTTATGAAGCCGGTTCATTGACATTGGTATTTGAATACGGGGTAGGTTGCTTTCTCTCTTTTATTTTTTTACTTTTTTGTGCCCAATATTTGTGATAAACGATAAAATTAAATAATTTTCATTTATTACATATAATTTCAAGTATCCTTGGTATAGATTTTTGTGTAATCGAGGATATGTGAATATATCAACTGGTAAATGTGTCCTACCATCAGTAATACATTAGATAGATTTTGAAATAACTTGAATTATAGGCTGATGTTACAGTGTACTAGTGCATAATTATGTTTACAAGTGCAATGTTCTAATACGTTTTCGAATATTTATTGTTAGTTGTGTAATCTGTTTCTTCGTTATCATTGAACAATTAACTTTGTTATATATATATATATATATATATATATATATATATATATATATATATATATAGTAAAATAAAACATTGTAAACATCCGACTGAAAGTGATATTGTATGTTTATGTTAATCTAATGGTCTCATATTCTTACCATGATTATGATTTTTCAAAATGTCACATGTAATATCCCTTTGTAAATAAAACTTATACCTTGATAAGGTTCACTAGTGATGAAAGATAACTTTTTTACTAATAATTCCCTTAGCATTGTTTTAATGGTGGATTAAAGTGTTCATACTTCACTTCAAATTCATGAATTATGCATTGAACGAGCATATTTTAGAATGGTTTTATAGAAAGATCAATATAATATAATGATTATTTTAGAGCTAAATGAACATATAAATTGAATGGTATTTGATTTTAAGTTCATTTAACTCTGTGATATGATTGTACAAACCTAATCTCTGCTTTTGACTTCACTAGAATTAAAAGCTGTTTCTCGTATTTGATTTCTTAGTCACCGAATTCTAACTAATATCTAAGAGCCACTGAAGTAAATAATCTGGCGTAAATAGGCACAATTCGAATTTTTAATCCATAAAATAACTAAGAATATATATATATATATATATATATATATATATATATCGCCTCTCTGAAACTGTTAATAAAGTAAGGCTAATGTTAAAAAGATAAATCTACCAACGACAAGATAACTATAAAAAAAATGCAAGTTTATTACGTAAACGATCAAATACATATTTTATGAATTACTCTTCCTATAATCGAATATTTACGCATTCCACAAATAGACTAATCTTAGATGGTAATTTATTACAAAAATAAATCAAAGCACTAATGAATCAACAAATGTTTTTCAGTTTGACAATATATATTATGAATAAATTCATAAGTATTGTGATAAATTTGTAATATCATAGTAACTGTACTCAGAATTCATGTGAATGTAAGCAATAAGAACACTTTTATTTTAATTAGAGGAATTTGATATTCATAAGTATCTATGTGCATTACACTACAGTAATTAAAGTATATTGTTTAAAGCTAACTCAATTATTTTCTTATTGACTCATAATAAATTTAGTAGTAAGAGTTACAATATATGTTTCGATTTCACATAATCTCTGTTATTCTATATAGTTTCTGTCTTGTTTTCTCTATGAAGTGTTTTTTTTCTTTTTAAGAGTTAAAAAATGAGACTTCATTTTGTTTTATTTTCAAAATCATCTATCTGTAGTAACAGTTATTTGTTACAATGATATGGATTTGAATATTTTCTTATCTTGTAATAATCTACTTTGGTTAACATTAATCTTTTCTTTCATGAGAAAAATATACTTATCTAAATTCACACGTCGATTAAAAGGCACCAAATTTGAATTTTTCTAATACAGAATAAAAAAATATTTAACATGTGTTTAATTAACAATAATTAAAAGAATTACTTAAATGATAAACTATGACAGCCTAGATTTTGTGAATGCTTTCAGACTGACTACTCAAAAATCATGTAATATATGATCAAGTATTAACTTTTTTATGACTAAATTAATCAAGGTTTTCTACGCTTCATTTGATTGCCTACCTTTGATAAGTTACTAATAACTAACAAATTTTATGTATCAATTTAAATAAAACTACCGGTTCTTTTCGAGAAATGTCACTACAAATAAAGTGATAACAATAAGTTTACTTATTAAGGAATAATTATTCATAATTTCAACTATGAAAATACTGCAATCTCCACAAAACCCCTTCTGCACACTAATGATTGGCTTCAAGAGATATTTCCTGGAGTTCTAGTGGGAAGCAGTGACCAGTGGAGTTCAACGTCTGTTGTAGAGATATCAACTCACTGAAGATAATTGGTGAGCGGTTGCTCAAACTTCGTGGATTGGTTGAAGTTAGACATTAACAATGTTGGATGCCGGCTCAGTGGTCTATCGGTTAAGTGCTCTGAGGCGAGACTGGTAGTTCCTGGGTTCGAATCTCGCGAGGTGGGATCGTGGATGCGTACTTCTGAGGAGTCCCACCATAGGATGAAACGGCCTTAAAGCAGTGCTTCCGTGTTTTTCATGGTGGTCTAGCTTCAATTGACTCATGATTTCAACTATGAAAATAAGCAGTTTAAATTGATTATACCCATTTATATGTAATAGTATCGATACTATTATTATATCGACAAAAAGATATGTAAAACTATGCATTCTAGTTTCCGATAACTTAGTATATGAAAATAACATTTTCAATAACATGAGACAGTAATGACTTCATTAATTCAACAAAGTGTACTTACTTATCATTAGGCTAATCATTATTATAAAAATATATTCAACCGTAAATATTTCCATCTATGTTGTAAAACTACTGAATGAGTATCTTCAATGTATCAAACATGGTTCTCAGTCATCACTTTATTAAGGAGATAGATTTGTAGTCTCATAAAATAAAGTACTATAGATATGTATCACACATATTATCTCGAGATGCACTATTCCAGTGTCAGTGATAAGTTCTCTAACTGTACATCTTCACTATCCTTAAAAAATGATAAAGAAATGAGCAAATATATGATTCTTTTACGTTTAAGTTAGGTGATTTATGTGTACCCATTAATATATGTCTCAGGTCCTTCAGTGCTAAAGATGGAAACATATATGGTTAAACAGTCTACAGATAACTCTTTAAAAACATGGAATTAATGACATGTAATCTACTTTTTAAAATTCTAATAATTCTAGAGTACTGGAATTGACAACTGTAAACTATTATTTAAAAACTGATAGTAGGAGAATTAAAAAAACATCAAATAACCAGAAGTATAAGATCAAATAAACAAGTTTGTAATTGTAATGGATTAAAAAATCGTTAATTAAATATAACAGTCCAAAAGTAGTATTTAACATTATCTGTCCGACCTAAAGTTAAATTATCATTTTGATTTCAATAAAGCAGCGAACTTACAAATAAGTGTTTAGGATTATTTTTGACATAAATATATAGCAAAATTTTCCCAAAACCATCAGCAGACTTAATGTGACTGAATGAAACAATCTCAGAGACAACTGAGGAATTCAGAAGGATAACTGAATTTTATAGCCACAGATATGTAGTTTATTGACTCTCACCACAGTCTTAAAAAACCTTTTTCTCAAGATATTGACTATCACTGTGTCAAGTTGATCAGATAAAGTAGTAAATATCTATTGATAAATATCGTGCTTAACTCATTTCTTTAAATATTTTTTTAGTTCATGTTATTTTAGCAACGTTATTTCTACTGTGATTTTCACTTAACAAATTCTCCACACTTACAAACTAATTTATCTTTAAATAATAGGAAGCTGAATGAATGACAGTGTTTGAATTCTTGTTTAATAAATATGCATTAACAGATATGTAGTTTAAGAATGAATGGAATATACAAATATTGTGTGATCAATCGGTTCTTTTTGGTGATGAAATCATTAGTCAATACGTTGACGAAATGCTATCTTTTGTGTTTACATGACTTACAATTACGTGTTTATCTAGTTATCTTCAATGTAGGGTTGTGGAGATTGTTAAAATTCATTGAAATGATAGACCGATCAATGTTAGACCCCCACTGAAAACATGAAAAAACTAAACGTCCGTTTCCTCTCACTATTAGACCCCTTGGCAGTGCATATCTACGGTCCCTCTCTCAGGACTCAAACCCGGGTCCTTCAATCACGTGGGCTGACTAGTAACGAGCTTTGAGAGGTAATCTTCGAAGTTCTATTGAGAAATCGTGACCAGTGGAGTCCAACCGTGTCGAATGTGAGGCAGCGACACACCAAAGACAATAGAGGATAATCATGCAACATTGTGGATTGGTTTAAGTCAAACATTAACACCGATGGATGTTGGCACGATGGTCTCGAAGTTAGGCGTTCGTATGATACCGAATGTCTTGGGTTCAAGTCCTGCGTGAGGGTTTGTGGATGTGTACTAATGAGCAGTCCAATACTGTGAAAAGATGGCCGTCCAGTACCCCCAGATTTTTAGTAGGAGTCTAACACTGATCGGTTCATGATTCCAATGAAATATTTACTAATCATTGTGGTTTTTCTCTGCCTATGTTATCTGAGCATTAATCTATTATGATTGCGATTAACTAAATTATCCTGAATTTAGTAATGGAAAATTTAATGCTGTATCAGATTTATTTCACAGTGTATTCGTTTTACCATTTTTTTTAGGGAAGTGATCTCAAAAGGTACATGAGAATGTACAATAATCGTCTACCTATGAATGTCGTCAGATTATTCACTTTCCAAATATTTCGAGGTCTTGAATATTGTCATGCAAAACAAATATTACACCGGGATTTAAAACCTCAAAATTTATTAATTAGCAAAACTGGAGATTTGAAATTGGCTGATTTTGGTAAGAAGAAATTATTCGATTATTAAACTCGTTCAAAAGAATCACTTTTTAAATGAGTATTACTTCACTACTATTTATTTATTGACATTCACTAGAAAAGTGTGTTATTTTTGAATCCCTATAAAAATGATTTTTTTAAATGCACCACAGAGTATGTAGAAATATTTTAATTGCTGATTCTGAGCGAATTAAGTGGTTTAATTTGTCTATTCCGGTTTGCGTTTTTTAGCAAGGTTGTTTTCTACTGGATGGGGTCGCTGACCCCATTCTTAACCCTCTTCGTTTTTCCCGGGGTTGGGACCGTCAATAACCTTAGAAGAGCTATAGGCGGACACGTGAGCATCAGACGAGGGGCTAACATGGTTTCAGATCACCATCATCTGGTGGTTGCCAAGATGAAACTGAAGCTAAAAAGGTAATGGAAAACTGAACAAACAGCATTATAAAGGTCCAATACACTCTTCCTTCGAGATACTAAAAAACTCAACCAATTCGGGGTAACTCTCAACAACAGGTTCCAAGCCTTATAAGATCTACTCACAGAAAAGGGAACTATTATGGAGAACAACTGGAAGGGGATCAAAGAAGCATTAACTTCAACCTGTCATTGGGTTGTGAGCTGCAAGAAGCATCATCATAACTAATGGATTTCTATGGAAACCATATTTTGGATTCGATAAAGGAAGAACAAGAAGACAGCAATTAATAACAGCCGAATAAGAATGGAGGAAGTCAAGGCTCAGGCAGAATACACAGAGGAAAACAAACAAGTTAAAAAGAGTGCTAGAGTTGACAAACGAAAGTACGTGGAGGATCTAGTAATGACAGCGGAAAAGGCTTCAACAGAAGGAAATATGAAAAAACTGTATATTAAAGCTGAGAGATCGATCATAGCTTAACACAGCAAGCCAATCACTAAGACTCAAAAACAGAGGAAAAGATAAACAGAACACTTTGAGAAACTCTTCAGTAAGCCAGTTCCACTGAACCTGCAGGACATCGAAACAGCACCTACAGATCTTCCTATAAATGTCACTCCCTCAACGATCAAAGAAATCAGGATGGTGATCAGATAAATCAAGAGTAGGAAAGCAGCTGAACCTGACAATATACTAGCTCAATCACTGAAGTCAGACATAGAGGTAACTGCAAACATGTTCCACACTCTATTCAGGAAGATGTGGGAGGAGGAACTAATGCCGACAGACTGGCAAGACGGGTATCACATCAAGATATTAAAGAAAGGAGATTTGAGCAAGAGTGAGAACTACAGAGGCATCAAAGTACCACCTGTACAAGAAAATGTCCCCAACAGATTGCTGCTGTGCCGGTGAAACATTTAGTAGACGTCCAGCTTCGAGATCAGCAGACCGTATTTCGTAAAGATCGGTCATGCACGGACCAAATTGAGACACTATGGATCATCGCTCAACCATCAATTGGATGGAACTTGTCACTATAAGTCAACTTCATTGACTATGAGGATTTTGAAAACGTGGACAAGAAAACGTCATGGAACCTTCTTCGAGACTGTCGAGTGTTTAACTGAGAAAATCGTCAACATCACACGGAATTCATACGACGGACTATATTGAAAAGTTGTGCATGGAGGATAGATGATAGACGCAGCCAAAGTGATGACCGGAATCAGACAAGGCTGCTTACTCTCACCCTTGCTTTTTCTTTCGGTGGTTGACTGGATTGTGAAGATCCCCACATCTCAAGGGAAGCACGGAATACAACAGACACCTCGCATGCAACTGGACGATTTGAATTTCAAACATCACCTAGACAACTTATTCCATACATATCAACAAATGCATATCGAGGTAACCCCTGTGGCAGCAGCAGCCTCTGCATAAGTAGGCCCCAACATGCCTAAGCGAAAAAGCAAGATCCTCAAATACAGCATAGACAACACCAACCCAATTACACTTGATGCAGTAACTCCGGAAGAGGTGCAAACTTTGACGTATCTATCTGGTCAGTACGATCGATGAACAAGGAAGATCCGATGCAGACATAAATACAAGAATTGTCAAAGTAAATGTAGCATTACTACAATTGAAGAACATATGGAACTCAAAACAACTGTCAACCAATAACAGAGCCAGGATTTTTAATACGAACGTAAAGACAGTTCTGCTGGATGGAACTGAAATGCGAAGAACTACCACAACCACCATCAAAAATGTACAAGTATTTATAAACAATTGCCTACACATGATACTCAATGTCCGTTGATGGGATACTATCAGCAACAGACTATTGTAGGAGAGAATAAACCAGCTTCTAGTTGAAGAAAAACTTAAGAAAAGACGTTGGAGGTAGACAGAAAATACATTAAGGAAATCACCAAACTGCATCACGAGGCAAGTGCTAACCCGGAATACAACTTCACTTGTCCTTGGCATTCTTCATGATTCTTTCAATTCTGTTGTTATTAGAATTGCTCTCTGTTTCCCTTCCTGTTCTCTCCAATTCAATCTTCTTAATGTTCTACTGTCAAGCATTTCACGTCGGATTGCTGCTACATACTACTTATATCTGTCAGCACAAGTGGTATATATCACATGTGTACATATGATTAAATTTTTAATATTATAATCCTTTGTGTAATTTGCCCAGCCTGTTTTTGTATCATCTGTAAATTTCACTGGTTTTTGGTAGTTTTGAAAGAACATTTCTTGTACACATCAACATGGAAAACATTTTCTATACAACTTTCCGGGTGATCTAAAAAAATATATACATTCCACTTCATATCTTTACGCATCACATGATATCTTCAGATTATTTTTGCGATATAGCGATGTTAATTTTTTGTATGAAGTACATCGATACACGTAAACCTTCCCTTAGTTTTGATTCTCTTGGTTTGGAATGTATCTTCCTTTGATCAAACAAGGTGAAATAACACCTCACTTTATTGATACTACCTCTGATACTGATGTATTGATGTGTGCTATGGTGTCCGAAATTACAGCATGGCGGAAGATTCAGGTGTAAATCTGTTAGAATTTCAAGGAATTGAAAACTCCATTATTTGTTAACTTTCGTACACTTAAAAAGAGAATCGTTTGAATATATTCCTCAGTTGAGAATCCGTTTTCAGAAGTGTATTAGTCATTGAAATAACAGTCCCATAGGCTTTTCCAAGTATGAATGTAAAAATATACTCACTTATGAAACTGCTTAGGGAATTAAATGGTACAAAGTCTTTTACATCCTAATTAACATGCATTAAAACGTGCAGCTTTCACCATATGCCTGTGGAATTCGAAGTATCTTTCAAGTTTTATCTACCAAACAGTATTTCGCTACTTTTTGATGTAAATAACAATTTGACTAACAAGGGATAATACTCTAAATCAATGTTTGATTGACACTCCTATGTAAGACCAATGGAAATCTAGTTCGAGAAAGTGAGACATAGTCATAACGGGCAACAATTTACTCAGCTTGTTCAGTAGATTCCCAAAAATTATACGATCGATGTAGCCTGGTGATAATTGCTTGCAAGCTCGGGTTTTCAACTTCGAAGGGTTCCATGAATCAAATTTCAAAAGACAGAATAACTGGTTAGCAAGATATAAATCTCACAAAATAGAAAAAAATTACATAGTTATATTTACAAAATGTTTGTCACAAAAGGAAAATGACTAAAATTCTTTTACACTTTCGATGACTAGTAAATATCGGTATTGTAAACTATTTACAAACCTGTAATATTAAGACAAGACTATAAGGCTTAATTATGATCACCTTCCATTATGAGACTAGCAACAAAAGGTCAAATTTGAATTTTAAGTGAATAAATTAGTTGTAGTCCTGATACTTTGGATTTCTCTAGTAGTTTAAATCAGTTCGATATTAAATACACTAATAAGGATGAGCTTCCTACCTAGAGATGTAAAAATAATTACCAACATATTAATTAAATATTTTGTACATCTTGTATTTTTATTGGAACTTTTATGCTTTCTATTGTTGATGATATAAATGTACGTTTGGCATTAATACACGTTAAGTCTAATGAAGAATACATTTTTTATCAGGCTCCTATCAGTTTAATTTAATCAGTCTCTATCATGATGTTATTTGAAACTTATATTTAATTACACCCTATAAACACTCTTATTTTGAAGACGTTGACTGGTTACAGTTCCATTGCTTATCGTCGTTCATGATGTTTTGTAAAACTTTCTTCTGTCGTAGACCAATTAACGTTTGGTAAATTATTAATATTATGTTATTGATGTGTTTGTCAGTTAATTATTAATGTTTACGTGGCATAACTTCATAAATTATTCAGAATTTTATTTTTTAGAGTTAAATGAATATATTTTTTTATATTTGATATACTGCATTCTACAATTCAGCATTATAGCAAAAATAATAGTAGTAGTGGTAGCAGATGTAGTACACAAATTTCTGTGAAACTACTGATCAAGGTTTTAAAAGGATTTTCATCTTATGATCGTTGTCTAGTTTATCAGTGAAAGTATTTCCTATTAGCTATTAGACTTGAGATTATTAAGAAGTTATGTGTCGCTGAAATATGTAACGTTTCGGTATATTGGTAGTACCTAAACGTTTCCCCGTGAAATACAGATGTGATTTGAAAGTAGAATTACCTTAAAATTCAATTAAAGATCCAATAAGTCTACTGTCAAATCTCTGTAAGGATTGACTAGATAATTTGTGCAATAGCAACTTATAGTTGAGTTCATTTTATTTACTGTGTTAGGACTCGGAATAATACTAATTTAAATCTTTTTCAACCAAAATTGTAATTGTATTATCCATTTCAACATTATTTATATGACAAAGCTGTGTATCATTTATAAGATTTAGAATAGCTTAATTGAGATACAAAGCTTTTTATCACTGTTCTGAAAATTAATAATGCTGTGGGTTATCATTTGATCACTACTGACCAACTTCAAGAAGGAATTTGTAAGCTTCTAGTGAGGAGATGTCAACGACAGAATTCAACA